AACAAACTTTGTAGACACTCACTAGAAGATGTTTCATTCTTAGTATTGGGTTTTTTAAAAGAAGATTTATTTTAAATTTTTTGCTATACACATATATGGAAAAACAATGACCCCCGGGGCAGGGCCAATTTTGAACCCAGGGCTCTTATTTTAACAAATTTGGTAGATACCTATTAGAACATGTTTCATGCTAAATATCTTAGCTTTAGCTCTTTGGGTTCTTTAAAAGAAGATTTTATAAGTTTTTACTATATGCATATAGGGAAAATCAATGACCCCATGGGGCGGGGCCAATTTTTACCCCAGGGCTTTTATTTGAACAAACTTGGTAGACACCCATTAGAAAATGTTTCATGCTAAATATCTTAAGAATAAAGATATTTGAATTGAATTAAACAAGAGCTGTCACAGGAGACAGCAAAGCTCGACTAATAAAATACTGGACACAGTAAGAAAGCCGGAACTATGAAAGAAAAATCAATTATGTATAATTATGTAGTAAGTTAGAGTAAATTTGTTTGTTTGGGTTTTTACATCACACTGACACATTATAGGTCATATGGCGACGTTCCAGCTTTACTGGTAGAGAAAGACATCTGGTGCCCTTTCAGGCACGAATGGGAACCCGAGTAGAACCACCGACGAGTAGAGCCACAGACTTTTCGTAAGCTAGCTGGATAGCTTCCTCACATAAAAGAATCCAATGTCCCTGTCAGGATTTGAACCCACATCAGTGAGGGGCAAGTGGTTTAAAGTCAACTACCTTAACCACTCGCCCATGGACGCCCCTTAAGTTATAGTAAAAAACTAGAAATGTGTCCATAGGATACCGATGCCCCCACACACTACTGTTCTGTCAATTTTATGACTCTAGGTCAAATATTTTTTGGACTACACGTGCCACAAGTTGAAAACTAAAAATCAACAAAGGGCCATAATTCTGTTCAATTTGGTTTCAGCAAAAATTCCTTCCATTACTACCATCTACACATAAAGGTTGTTCATCCCTGGAAGTTTAAGCAAAATCTGCTATCCGGTTTAAGAGGAGTTGCGTTCACAAAATTTCTACCTAGTATATAGTGAACAAATCAACAAAGGGCCATAATTCTGTTAAATTTGGTTGCAACGAAAATTCCTTCCTTTACTACCATCTACACATTAAGGTTTTCATCCCTGGAAGTTTAAGCAAAATCTGCCATCCGGATTAAGAGGAGTTGCATTCACAAGATTTCGGGACGTACGGACCGATGGACGGACAAGTGCAACGCTATATGCTCCCACTTTGTGGAGCATAAAAACAACATTTGTTAACATAAATTTCAAGGGGGATTTATTCTGGAAATAGTCATGCTAGAGTTATGAACCTTGTCACACAACATATGTGTAATGATAAGAAATATATATTTGAAGTAGATACCTTAAAAGGGTAAAGAAGATATTATATTTCTTAAAGAAATTTCTAAGTTCAAAGAGAGATAAATCTGAAAATATTGCTTCAAGAGTTATGAACCTTGTCATTTAAGATGTAATTGATAAAAGGAATAAGTATTTGAAGTTTGAGGGAGATACCTTTACAACTAAAGAAGTTATAGTAAAAAAAAATATTTTTCAAGTAAAAAAAAAATCTAAGTTTATGGGTAGATACTTCTTGCAATATTGGTGCTAGAGCTATGACCTTGTCATATAGCATGTGGTTAATGATAAGAAACATATATTTGAAGTGTGATGTTAATCCCTTATGAAATAAAGAAGTAACAGTAAAAAATGTAATTTCTTAAGGACAATTCAAAGTTCAAGGGGAGATAAAACTGAAAATATTGGTGCTAGAGTTATGAACCTTGTCACATAAGATGTGGTTGATGATAAGGAACATTTATTCGTAGTATAAAATATGAAAAACAAGATCCTCAAGAAATAAAGAAGTAACAGTGAAATATAGTATTTCTTGAGTTCAATGGGAGATAAATATTAAAATATTGGTGCTAGAGTTATGAACCTTGTCACATAAGATGTGGTTGATGATAAGGAACATATATTTGAAGTTGATACCTTAAGAAATGAAAAAGTTATAGTGAAAAATACTTGACTGCACCAAAACTTCAATCAGAAATCTGAAATAGATAAATACAGAAACCCTAAAGAAAGCCCAACACGGCAAAATTGAAAATGTTGCAGGCTCGGTCTGATTGAGCCTGTTCATGGACGGTACTGGAAAGTGCAATTGAAAATTTTCAATTTTGCCGTGTTGGGCTTTCTTTAGGGATTCTGTATTTATCTATTTTACCGTCCACGCGCCCTAGCACCGGTTTAAGCAGAATTCAACATTTTAACATGAAATAGTAAAATTTTGAATTTAGAAACATCCGCAAATGTGTTCATACGGCGGTTATCATGAAACCTTCAATGTGAAACTTCCGTGCCATTCCATGAAAAGCGGCGTATGGTCCCCAAGTAATAAAAAGCGTGTGCCCTAAACGAGAAAACAATGGGCGGAACTAAATAAAATGGAATTTTGAAAGGGGATCAGAGGTTATGAAGCCTGCCTGTCACAGATAAGACGTCAAAAGACAAATTTAAAAAGCAGGCAACATATCCTAAGGGTGATTCAACATTATTCAAGTAGGAATATTGGAACCACCCAACTAGAAAATGCCGAAAAGTTGAAACTAAAAATACCATAAGCACAACAATAATGTCGTGCTGAACGATCTTCAAGGATCGAAAACATAACATCATTGATTAAATGTACGGGGAGACTTTTTACAGCCGCCACACGGCACAAATAACACGGATGTAATATTAAAATAGATAAATACAAAATCCCTAAAGAAAGCCCAACACGGCAAAATTGAAAATGTTGCAGGCTCGGTTTGATTGAGCTCGTTCATGGACGGTAATGGAAACTGCAAGTTTTCGTCCACGCCCCCTAGCACCGGCTTAAGCAGAATTCAACATTTTAACATGAAATAGTAAAATTTTGAATTAAGAAACATCCGCAGATGTGTTCATACGGCGGTTATCATGGAACCTTCAATGTGTCACTTCCGTGCCATTCCATGAAAAGCGGCGTATGATTGTTTGTTTGGATTTTACGGCACGTCAACACATAACTGGCCATATCGTGCCGAATGCTATAATAGGCTTAAAATATTATGTAAAACATTGTAAATGACAATAAAAATGAGCCAATTAGATCTTAGAATACAAGTTTATCTCTTTTAAATAATCAATTATGTTTTTTGATGGAATTGTATTAAAAAGTTCTTTGAGTGAATTTACAGAATAAAATCTATTACGGGCCTGTGAAAAATCATGACATTCAAGAAGAAAATGCTTGACAGTAAAATTTTCATTACAACCTACACAGAAAGGGGCATTGTCATTTGTGAGGAGATAAGAGTGGGTAATTTTAGTGTGTCCAATTCGGCATCGAAGAAGAACTGTTTGATCACGGCGGTTTGACAGAGATAGAGATGGTGACATATCAAGAGATGGGTTTATATCGTGAAGTTTATTAAAAACGGCATTGTCCCAATTTGCTTTCCATTCAGCTGATACGAGTTTATTTATAGCCGGTCTAAAATCACAAGCAGGTAACAATAAGTCAGTTTTTTGAAAATTTAATGATTGTTTAGCTAAAGCATCTACTTTTTTCATTTCCTCGTATTCCTACATGGCTTGGAATCCAATATAATTTAACATATTTTGTTTTTAGTATATCATGAAATCGTAAAAGAAGTTTCTTTACCATGATATTGTCAGATTTTTTTATTTTTAATGGATATTAAAACAGAAAGCGAGTCAGAAAATATCACAAATTTATCGTGGGTATGCTGTGCTATGTATGACAATGCTAAATCGATAGCTTTTGCTTCAGCAGTAAAAATTGATGCATTATCTGGTAACCTTGTACTAGATGTAAAATTATTTTCAAACACAGCCGCACCTACTTTGCAACCTTCTTTTGAACCGTCCGTATAAATATGTATAAAATCTTCATGTTCTTCCTTAATTGCTAGAAACTTCTCTTTGAAATATTCAGGTGAATTTGATGCCTTTTTTATATTTGAAAGGTTAATATTTATTTCCGGGGAATTATAAGTCCAAGGTGGAACATCCTCATCGTCATTTTGAAGGATACTGTCTGGATTAATTTTAAGTTTATCTAAATCATCTTTTAAACGAAGGCCTAATGGTTTAATTTCCTTTGGTTTGTTAACAAATTTTTCAGTATAACTTGGTTTGAAAATAATATTTTTAGCTGGATTTTTCCTATTAGATGAAATTCTAGTTGCATATTGAAGTGATAGTTTTTTACGTCGAAGATAAAGCGATGGTTCCCCAGCTTCCGCATATAGACTTTCTACAGGTGAAGTGCGAAAAGCACCTAAAGCTAAACGTAAACCCTGGTGATGTATGGTATGAAAAGCCGACGTGAGTAGGACAGCTCTCCATATACTTTGTATAGTCAAATAGATAAATACAGAATCCCTAAAGAAAGCCCAACACCGCAGTATTGAAAATGTTGCAGGCTCAGTTTGATTGAGCCTGTTCATGAACGGTACTGGAAAGTGCAAATTACCGTCCACGCCCCCTAGCACCGGCTTAAGCAGAATTCAACATTTAAACGTGAAATAGTAAAATTTTGAATTAAGAAACATCCGCAGATGTGTTTTATACGGCGGTTATCATGGAACCTTCAATGTGACACTTCCGTGCCATTCCATGAAAAGCGGCGTATGGTCCCCAAGTAATAAAAAGCGTGTGCCCTAAACGAGAAAACAATGGGCGGAACTAAATAAAATGGAATTTTGAAAGGGGATCAGAGGTTATGAAGCCTGCGTATCACAGATAAGACGTCAAAAGACAAATTTAAAAAGCAGGCAACATATCCTAAGGGTGATTCAACATTATTCAAGTAGGAATATTGGAACCACCCATATAGAAAATGCCGAAAAGTTGAAACTAAAAATACCACAAGCACAACAATAATGTCAAGCTAATAAAAACCTATACAGTTGAGTTCCGAACGTTTTTACTTTTTCTTGTTTTCAAACCGTTCCTGTGCAACAAGAGAAGTTCTAACAAATCCTTTTACCATTGTCCAAGACCTTTTTTTTTAGAACTGGATTTTTGTTTATAACCTCTTCGCATTGAAGCTTAGATGGCAATTTTTTCATGATAAAACATTTTTTTAGTGCTGTTTGGTACTCTTTCTCCTGAGAGGACCATGGAGTCCTTATCCCTTTCTTCTTGTACTTGCCTAAAATGTAATTAAATAAGTTATATGATGATGAACCTGATGGTTAAAAGTAAACAAATTTGTAAAAGGTTTTTATTGCAACTGATTTTTTATTTTCAATGTTAAGTAGATTATTTTAGTATTGAAATACACATACCAAACAATACTGTTATAAAATATGCATCATGTAGGGAATATTTATTAATAAATGTCTTTGTTACCTGAATAATTCTGGGAAAATAACATGTAAATTAATGTACAACAATACAATAGTTATCAGCTAACATTCCTTTACATATATTTATTTCAATATTTCAATTTTTATAGGACACGCATCACTGAAACTGTTGTCTTCACATCCGTTGTGATCACATCCGTGTTATTTGTGCCGTGTGGCGGCTGTAAAAAGTCTCCCCGTACATTTAATCAATGATGTTATATTTTCGATCCTTGAAGATCGTTCAGCACGACATTATTGTTGTGCTTGTGGTATTTTTAGTTTCAACTTTTCGGCATTTTCTAGTTGGGTGGTTCCAATATTCCTACTTGAATAATGTTGAATCACCCTTAGGATATGTTGCCTGCTTTTTAAATTTGTCTTTTGACGTCTTATCTGTGATACGTAGGCTTCATAACCTCTGATCCCCTTTCAAAATTCCATTTTATTTAGTTCCGCCCATTGTTTTCTCGTTTAGGGCACACGCTTTTTATTACTTGGGGACCATACGCCGCTTTTCATGGAATGGCACGGAAGTGTCACATTGAAGGTTCCATGATGACCGCCGTATGAACACATCTGCGGATGTTTCTAAATTCAAAATTTTACTATTTCATGTTTAAATGTTGAATTCTGCTTAAGCCGGTGCTAGGGGGCGTGGACGGTAACTTGCACTTTCCAGTACCGTCCATGAACAGGCTCAATCAAACCGAGCCTGCAACATTTTCAATTTTGCCGTGTTGGGCTTTCTTTAGGGATTCTGTATTTATCTATTTCAATTTTTATAGTAAAGCAAACACATAAATTAAAGTAACCTGAGTAATCTTCAAAATGAGGTAGCATAATATGGGATTCCTATCTTAGATAACTATTTGGTTAGATAATTCTATTTTAAAATATTAGTTGTATGGTTACCATGCCGACTTACCAGGCGTTTTTCTAATTGGCTGGTCTGAGTCTGTCTCTGGTATGCATTCTCTGGTATTGTCCTCTGCCAAAATACCCTCCTCTTTATCAGGCTCTTCCTCACTTGACTGATCTTCATCTAAAATTTTGAATCATTAATAATATTTAATTTCCATCTTTCATAATCTTGACAGTAAAATGAACAAATTTTCAAAATATAAGTAAGAAATATTTATCAAGATAAAATACAAATAGTCAGTTGAAAAGTCATTCTATTAAATGGCCTACAAAAAAGTCAGTGCAATTACTACTTGTTGATAAATCATATACCATAGTGAAAATAAATTATTTGTCAATGAAACAGTATCAAAGCAAAGAAGTGGTATACTGGTTCCTCATATTTCTGTGGTACTTAACTGTTCAACAGAGATAACAAAAGTTAGAAGAATAAAATTCGGGAAAATATGTTGACATCATACTTTATTCCATTTAATGTTTGCATGTAAACAATTATGTACACAATATGGCAATTAACACTAATCCAATGCCTAGTGAGTAAAGTTGTGTTCTTGTATTTCCATGACAATGACATTTGAACAGTTTCAAAAGCAAAACCAAAAGTAATCTTTATTTTCTTGTACATCAATACCTAGTCCCATCTCAAAGTGGGTATTTCCTCTATGGCATTTATCAAATATCTCAATGGTTGCTTAATAAAGACAACTGTCTTAAAAGTTATGAAAACTAAAAGTATTTAGGTGAAATAATTTACTTTGCTTTTAATCTGAACAAGTGCCATGTTAACATGACCATCCCCGGCCAAATAAGTTTGCTCATTGAAAGAATGTATATGCAGTAGAGCAGAATAAGTCAATAAGAGGACTTTTGGTAATGAAAACTGATGGCTGAAGTGATTACAGATTTGAAACCTATGTGAATACTGACGGCTGAAAATAACAAAGGGCAACGACTGAAAAATTATGCAAGGTAGAGTTATCATTCTTGTGTGCTGCACATCTCCTCAATAAGATCTATCCACCTATAAAATTTCATATGTTGACATCTCTCAAAGATTTTTTGCATTATGCTCCACTCAGGAAAAAAATAAGTATGAAAAATAACAAAGGGCAATAACTAAAAAAATATAAAGGGTAAAGTTATCATTCTTATGCACTACGCACCTACTGAGTAAGATCTATCCACCTATGAAGTTTCATGATGATATCTTAAAGGCATTTTCAGTTATGCTCTCAACAAAAATTAGGTTTGAAAAATAACAAAGGGCTATAACTAAAAAAACATCAAGGGTAGAGTTATCATTCTTGCACACAGCATTCCTCCTCAATTAGATCTATCCACCTATGAAATAGATAAATAGAGAATCCTTAAAGAAAGCCCAACACGGCAAAATTGAAAATGTTGCAGGCTCGGTTTGATTGAGCCTGTTCATGGACGGTACTGGAAAGTGCAAGTTACCGTCCACGCCCCATAGCACCGGCTTATGGGTTCTGCACATCCCCTTGTTGAGGTGAACATTTGAGCTAAGTTTGAAGAAAATCTTTGACTGACACGACAAAGCGAATCCATTATAGCCCCCTCCACATTTTATGGTGGGGGTATAAATGTTGTGAAGTGAACAAAGAAAGGAATTGACACAATGCAATTGGCACTTACAATCCACTTAACCTACTGGGTTATTAACACAGTAGAAATATGGTTATAAATACTGCAAAAATCAGTCAATAAGTGCATACCGGTATATGATATAAATCATCATTTGAATATTTAATGTGTTTATTTTTCTTAAAATCTTAGAAAATTTTTCTGAAGTTTCATTTTTTTTGAAATATTTTGGAGGCATGCAGCTTTAAATTGCCCATCTATGAATTATTCCATTTAAAGTAAATCAATTACTCTGATGTCACAGCGTTTAAGTGTATAACTAAGAGGATATTTTTTTTCATTTTTTCGTGAAATATGGTATATATTTTCATGAAACATGATACATATGCGGCATTTAATCATGTTGAGAGAAAATATATACAATATTTAATGAATAACGAAAATAAAAATCATTTTATTTAATTTCATTATCCAAGAAAAACTGTTATGAATCCCCTTGCTAGCTTACAATGCAACTGCAATTGTACAGCACACAGTAATATATTGATTATGTGTGACACAGTGCAATACACATTAAATTTTTGTTTATTTTATTTCTTTTTTTTCAAGCAAAAACAATGTATTTATTTTGAAATAAATTGAAATTTCATTGGTTTGTGGCATTAAAATAGTGGTCTTGTTTTGACTATTTTTTGTTTGGCGATAAGTACATTGTAACGCAACATAAACAACTCTTCAAATGTCTGTACAGCTTTAAGGACTGAATTAAAGTTATTGGTGTTCGGATTTGTTTTCTTAGTTAGACCATTTTCTATAATTCTAGATAGTTTTCAAAACAAAACTTGATAAAAAATTGTTTTTTATTTATCAAATGTTTCAAACAAAATTGCGAAAGAAGTCCCTTAAAATAAATGTACAAAATGGCGAAAGAAGTCCCTTAAAATAAATGTAAGTTTTGACTTCGCCCACTTTCATATTTATATTTCATATCTATTTTTTAACAAATATGAAATATACTTGACTGATATAGCACCATATTTCATGGGTAAAAATAAATAAAATTCCATATCAAGTTTTAAGAGTTATATAATATTTTAGTACAAATTTCGCATTCAGTGAAATATAAGCGTTCAGTTCTTGTGCACAGCTTTGATTATGATTAAATATATTTCCACTGAAAATTCCATTCAATATTGACATTTATTATATGATCTAAATATAGCTGCAATCTCATTGGTCCAAACAGTAGTTAACAGAACTTTTTATCAAATCATATTAATACTGGCTGAATTGGATTTTCCCAGTCCAAAAATAGATCATATTCGACCATGCACCGTAGACTGTTAAGTATGCATGTTAATTAAAAAATAATTGTTGCATTTTGTTCTTTATGGCATATTTCTTGATTTTAATATCATTACTATTATACATAAAGGCTACACCGCAATCAGACGAGTATAAACTTGAATTATTTTGTATGCGTAGTGTTCGCACACCTAACACGACATGCATCTTTTTTCCCGCGTTTCAACAAGGCAAAATTTGTACATGTATATAATGTTGCACTTTTTGTGATTTTTTTTTATTTCTTAGCCTATAGTATATACATATAATAAAACAATTATTGACTAGCGAATGCTTTTGTTTGTTTCATTTTACGCCTTTTTCCAACAGTATTTCAGTCATATGGGCGGGCAGTTTCCTAACCATCGTTCCTGGAGAGTAACACCAGTACTAGACTACCCTCCTCCGTACTAAACTACCAAAGCATCTCGCCGGGATCGAACCCACCCCAGAGAGGTAACTGGATTAGAAGTCATCGACTCTAACCCCTTGACCACGGAGGAAGTCCACAAGTGAATGCATGTAAATATATTTACCTAATATATCTAAGCTGATTTCGTTTAAATCTTTGTCTGTTACAGATGTAATATTTCCAGTATTCAAAGCATGTAGAACTTTAGAAACTTTTGCTATTTCCAAAGTTCCCTGTGGGAGTCTGTAATATTGACGATGAACTTGAATATCATGCCCCATGAACTTGGCCAAAATATCTTGATCTGATTCTGTAAGATGCAAAACCTGTGATAGAGTAGCAAGTTGTTTTCTTAGATTTGTTGATGTGATTCTCTCAGGGTGTTTTAGACAAGATTCACTTGCTGCATATTTCAACGCATCATGTCCACGAAGCGGTTCTAGCAGCTCAGACTTCTGAAATATGTATTCAGTGGATTTTGGCTTCAACGACAACAGAAAGTCAATGTTTCTCTTCATTTCTTTTGTAAGTAATATGGCAACTTTCCTTCCCTTTTTCCCTTTGGTCTCGATTCTAATGTATTTCTCACAAAGAGCTTGCTCAAATTTTGACAATGTCTTTTTAATATCATGATCGACAGGTGTCTCAATTAGCATTGCTGTCTTTCTTATCTGTGATACGCAGGCTTCATAACCTCTGATCCCCTTTCAAAATTCCATTTTATTTAGTTCCGCCCATTGTTTTCTCGTTTAGGGCACACGCTTTTTATTACTTGGGGACCATACGCCGCTTTTCATGGAATGGCACGGAAGTGTCACATTGAAGGTTCCATGATAACCGCCGTATGAACACATCTTCGGATGTTTCTAAATTCAAAATTTTTACTATTTCATGTTTAAATGTTGAATTCTGCTTAAGCCGGTGCTAGGGGGCGTGGACGGTAACTTGCACTTTCCAATACCGTCCATGAACAGGCTCAATCAAACCGAGCCTGCAACATTTTCAATTTTGCCGTGTTGGGCCTTCTTTAGGGATTCTGTATTTATCTATTTTATGATCACATCCGTGTTATTTGTGCCGTGTGGCGGCTGTAAAAAGTCTCCCCGTACATTTAATCAATGATGTTATATTTTCCATCCTTGAAGATCGTTCAGCACGACATTATTGTTGTGCTTGTGGTATTTTAGTTTCAACTTTTCGGCATTTTCTAGGTGGGTGGTTCCAATATTCCTACTTGAATAATGTTGAATCACCTTTAGGATATGTTGCCTGCTTTTTAAATTTGTCTTTTGACGTCTTATCTGTGATACGCAGGCTTCATAACTTCTTATCCCCTTTCAAAATTCCATTTTATTTAGTTCAGCTCATTGTTTTCTCGTTTAGGGCACACGCTTTTTATTACTTGGGGACCATACGCCGCTTTTCATGGAATGGCACGGAAGTGTCACATTGAAGGTTCCATGATAACCGCCGTATGAACACATCTTCGGATGTTTCTAAATTCAAAATTTTTACTATTTCATGTTTAAATGTTGAATTCTGCTTAAGCCGGTGCTAGGGGGCGTGGACGGTAACTCGCACCTTCCAATACCGTCCATGAACAGGCTCAATCAAACCGAGCCTGCAACATTTTTAATTTTGCCGTGTTGGGCCTTCTTTAGGGATTCTGTATTTATCTATTTTATGATCACATCCGTGTTATTTGTGCCGTGTGGCGGCTGTAAAAAGTCTCCCCGTACATTTAATCAATGATGTTATATTTTCCATCCTTGAAGATCGTTCAGCACGACATTATTGTTGTGCTTGTGGTATTTTAGTTTCAACTTTTCGTCATTTTCTAGGTAGGTGGTTCCAATATTCCTACTTGAATAATGTTGAATCACCTTTAAGATATGTTGCCTGCTTTTTAAATTTGTCTTTTGACGTCTTATCTGTGATACGCAGGCTTCATAACCTCTGATCCCCTTTCAAAATTCCATTTTATTTAGTTCCGCCCATTGTTTTCTCGTTTAGGGCACACGCTTTTTATTACTTGGGGACCATACGCCGCTTTTCATGGAATGGCACGGAAGTGTCACATTGAAGGTTCCATGATAACCGCCGTATAACACATCTTCGGATGTTTCTAAATTCAAAATTTTTACTATTTCATGTTTAAATGTTGAATTCTGCTTAAGCCGGTGCTAGGGGGCGTGGACGGTAACTTGCACTTTCCAATACCGTCCATGAACAGGCTCAATCAAACCGAGCCTGCAACATTATCAATTTTGCCGTGTTGGGCCTTCTTTAGGGATTCTGTATTTATCTATTGTATGACTCTGTTTTAAGCCTCGAAGCCTCCCCTGACCTCTTTCTATTAAATAGAATTATATCTGCAAGGCAAAGGCGAGCAAATTTTCCAATATCTGGATTGGTCAAACGCATTTCTTCAATTTTTGATTTTACACTTGTAGTCATTCTTGATACATCTTCAACAAGGGGGAAGATAATGTCTCTTATTATATTTTGTATCAAGCATGTGATCCTATTCTTTCAGTCCATTCTTCTTCATACATTTCTAAAAATCCGTCAGCTAACTTGTAGCTTTCATTGTCATGTTTTTGTAAAGAAATATTTCTCTGAATTTTTGCACATTTTTTAAGTTTTTGTCCAAGCTTTTGAGCCAAGGTTGGTTTGTTGAAAGTCTGTTGGCTATTGTCAAATTCTGCAACAACTTTTACAGCCTTAAGGACATTCTGCCATTAAAATGCTGATAGGCACTGTGATAAGGTTTGTAGATTATTATCTATTGACGACATAGCAATGCTAAACCTTGCTAACTCCCTCGGTGATTGACAAATATACTGGTGTGTATGACGGTGTTTTCCAGTCTTATCAAATTTTCTTTGACCAAATTCCAATATTAATGGGTCATTTTTTATCCTGGCTGAAAGGCAATCATCTCTCATCTCCACTAAAACAATATTTTGGAGTTCCTTAGAAATATTCTTATCCACTGGAAGCAACAACTTCGCATTTTTCACTGATCCGTCACTTTTTTGACCTACTTCACGACCAGGACAACTTTTTTGATGTTTCCATAAATCAGATAAAACAAAGTAAGCTTTACAAAATTCACAAGGAGCGTAGCGTATCTTACCAGCATCATTTTTGGGTCGATACTTAGGAATGATTTCCCCTGTGCCACATTCTTCAACCTTTATATTGTGCAAATAATTGCCTTTTGCACTTAAAAGAGCCCATGCTTCTTTTCTCCTTTTAGACCTTTTTGGAAAGCTCAGTACTCTTGTTACTTCAACTTCATCAGAGTGATGTGTTTGTAAATGTCGTGACATTTTAGAATTCAGTTTTTCACATAAAAGACAGCTCATTTTTTTCTGAGACCGTTTTCCAAACTTATTGCCTGAAGTCTGCACACTTCTCATTTTCTCTTCGGTTCCTTCTACAGTTTCTGACTCCGATTCACTAGCAGGCTTATCAAAGAAATTTACAGGCAAAATTTCTCCATTAACTATACTTTGGAACAGCCATTCCTTATTGACACACATATCTGAAAAAACAGTAAATATACTTATTGGCATTTTCTTAACATGCTGCATTTTACATAAATTTGGTCTAAATGTTTTACATAAACTTGAACAATCGTATGTTTCTTAATAATCTACAATTTCAATAAAATAGATAAATACAGAACTTGATATTCGTTCAGTACGTGTACAATATACAAGAAGAACATGACTACCCTTAGTCGCTCACCTGTGTTTCACATTAAATGTAATAGAAATCTGATTGTCAAGCGTTACATAGTGAATATGTTGTTTACGGTTATTTTCTATTATTAGCATTAGTGACCATTTCCAGTCATTATGTCATATCACATGATGACGTCACACGTTTAGCAGCAAAACAAAACTACATAGAGATGCTATTTTATTGGGAAAAAAGAAGAATGAAACCATTTAATTATTCTAAAAACTAATTAAAAGCAGGAAAATTCAAATACATGGTTGATGTCGGGATGGAGAAGGTTTATCCTCGCTAAAGCTCGCCAAGATACACTTTCTGGCCCACTGGATAAACCTTCTCCATCCCGACATCAACTATGTATTTTCTATTTCTTCCCCTCTATTTTTAACACTGTGCCCATTTGGTTCCATGGGAAATGGGTACTGCAATTTTAGGGAAGGGTCGCCAATTGAAATCATTCTGGTGAAATCATATCAAAATCCAAGCAGTGGTTTCAGAGGAGATGTTCTTTAAAGACTTAACTTGACTGGCAAATGATGATGGTCATAGACAATCCTAAATTTCACCCTGGGTGACAGGTGAGCTAAAATTTAAGGATGAACAGTCAAGGAAGCATAGCTATGAAAAATACATCATTTCAATAAAGATAACCACACAAATTATTAAGACAAGCATTTATAACAGAGTTACCAACGTCCCCCGCCTCGGGAAGTTTTATATGAAGTATAAAATTGTGCTATTTCAAAAGATTGAGGTATGGATCTCAGGACATTCAGTCCAAAATTATGATCAATGCTAGATCTGCAAATGCAACAATAAATTTGTTAAAAAAATAAAATGAAACACGGAACTTAAAAAGCTATCATGTTAAGCTTTGACCTCTAAATGTGACCTTGACCTTGGAGGTAGGGGAGCAGGTGTTGTGCATGACATAACGTCTTATTATTGAGACTATTTGTGCCAAGTATATTCAAAATCCCTTGAACTATGAAGAAGTTATAGATTGGACCCAAAATATACCCTATAACAGACTATGTGTGTGCGTGTGTGTGGATTAGTTATCAATATTAAGTGCCTGATTATTAATGTCAATTTATTTTATATTGAGTAACGCTCTATGTAAGTTGTCGTTAGACTTGGGGCTATTGTGTGTGTGTTCGAAATCAAATAATATTAAAATAGTATTTCAGTTTGAAACATTTCATGTTTTTTTTTTATCATGGGACATATAAATTTTGACGTACATTTTGTCAAATGCATTACAAATACTTAAATAATAAATGCAACTGAAAGAAAAATTCCAAATAAACACATTATTTAAAAACACAATTTAATGCTACAGATATTTGAGCAATTGAAGGAAGGTTTCTCCGAACTAGAAATTGATATATTTAGAAAATTGTCATGGTTACGAGATAAGAAAATTGCAGATTACAAAGTGATATCTCAACTAGCTACAATAATTCTTAAAGCGCAATGATGATTTCTTTAAAAATAAAATACATGCAATGCATTGATTTTGTTTTAATATAAATACTTTCCTGACAAAGTCATAAGCAAGTTTAAGATTACGCATCACGGAGCAAAAAAAAACATTTGAAAGTCAGAAAGATATCTGCTAGATGGGTGCCACATCTGTTGATCGATGAGCAAAAGAGGCAACGGGTTAAGGTGGCCAAAAAGCTGATTCCATTTTTTCCAAAATATGACAAAAAACAGTTTGCCAATGTCGTCACAGGTGATGAAACTTGGGTCCATTATTTTGAGCCCGTCAGGAAAGTAAGCAACAAAATATGATAAACAAGATCATCAAAAAACAAAATCTGGACCACTAAACACAACAAACGCCAAATAATTGCCAAACTTTATTGACGTGCCGTAAAAATCCAAACAAACAAACAAACAAGCCAAA